GCGAATTTGAACTATACTTCGTCAACTTACCAAGTCTAAGGTAATGCTTCCTAATGATATCGGGCCCTGCATTCTCATCCACCTGTAAGCCATCGTTGGTTCAAAAACAGCTTGAGAAAACACTTGCAACGGAAAAGATGTATTGAAACATACTTTGAGGACCAGATACCAATCAACGAAAGGCGGATTAGTGGAACCGAAATGATGCTGAAGAGCGCAGGTGACAGCACGGTCTGATATGTTGCATATTTCTGTTACCAAATGGGATTTGATATCTGAATCAGTTCTTGCTCTTCCCATTGACGCAAAAGATGAATCCGGTGATAACTGACCTGGAAACTGAAGAGTAAAACAACAGTGAGAAATGTAAGAGTGCTTATTGAGTTCTATGTACGTAATTTACTAGCATTTAAGGAGATAACTAGTAGGGTGGAGCGGTTAAGGAAAAAAGGGCTTGTTTTGCGGGGCACAATTTGGTTTTGAAAGTGGATCAGTACTTACTACTCAGTAGGTAGCTATAAAGGTGAATTTGTGGAGAGGTTAATGTCTTTCACACAAATTTTCTTGGTGGACTACCTAAGCAGTCATTTGAGTCAATCAGCAAGAAAGCTCACAGTATAAGAATCAAATATTGCCCTACAATAAAGGGTATGTCTTCTTCTTTCTTCTTTTTTTTTTGTTTTAAAATTTTTTTGTCTTCTCAAGACTCAATTCTCAGCGCCATTTCCCTTAATTGCAGTCCTCCTTCATTGTACGTTGTATCCATCTTAGGTCTGTACACAATGAGTAGAGATCCTGTGACTTGACTTCCATGGTCATCAGTTACTACTACACGTTTGCAAGTACATGAACATATAATCCTATTGTTAAAAGAGCCACAAAGGATTGAGTCCTCCTCCTCACTTTTAGTTTAGCATTACAAAATATGTGGTTTTTAAGCATCTTTGTTCTCGAAAACATGTTTGACAGAGCTCTAGAATCGGGGAGTTCAAGATTGAGCACATTTCAAGTTTTCAACATCTCCAGAGTACAAAATAAAGTGAACTTGGTAAGTGCACTGAATTCGATGTAAAGAACAAAAGGAAAAAAGAAATAATATGTATTTGTTTTCTTAAAAGAAGAGCTGATATACATATAAATATTTTCTTTGGTGTGTACCTCGAAAATAAGGGAACAGAAAATTGGAACCGGGTCATAAGATTGACTAGAGCACCGTGACCTATTCAAATAAACAGAAGAGCCGAGATGATGGAAGAAGTTAAAGTTAAAATCTCAATAGGCTACCAACTAAGAATTGGTTAAATACTATATAAATCTAGCAGTAGCTCCTACTGTACAGGAGGATTCTCTTGCGATGCAATGAGAGCATAATCATCATATGATGAATGTTTCACCAGTATTATATTTTCAAGTTGCATTAAAGATGATTAATCGCATTTAATTCCTCACGAGCTAGGCCAATACAGGGATCCTTTAATCAAACGTGATGTTGCATGTGACCCGCATGCAAATGTACAATTCCAACCTCTCCGGTTGGAGACATTCATGGAATGCTGTTAAGATAGGAAGCTCGGTGGTGCTGGTTCTGTACATTGTTGTGTTGTCCGCCCTTTTCTGGGCAGATTGCAAAAAACGTCCCAAAAATTTTGAATTGCATTCAATGTAAGATTTTGATTTAAAAGGAAAAGTGAAAAAGAAAATCCCTCGACTAGATACATTAACCAGTGGTGTAAGATAGTGAAGAACTACTAGTATTTGTTTAGATAGAAAATCCAGTTTCAAAGTTTTGGTGACAGCAGACGGCTGAACTTACCTAATCTTGATATCACACTGTAATAGCTTAGTGTATTAAAACAGAGGCACAAGATTTTATATTATTATTATTTTTTTTAAAGATGGCTGTAGGCTGTAGCAACTAATTAAAAGGATTATTTCTTATTGGGCTTGATTCTATGGTCAACGCCATGCTCATTGTAAGTAGCGTTGGTAAAATTTTTTCAGGCCCAAGTTCTTGGCCTCCTGTCGTCTTGCTGGGTTTCTGCCCAAATTTTCTATTGCCTCATCCATAATGAAGACATCAAAAGAATTGTCAAGATAACTGCTCAGAGGTTACACACACATATATATACTAGAATGGCTCTGGCTGTACAATGCCCAATCTATTGTGTAACAAATATTGAAAAATTCCTTGCTCTCTTATTTTTAAACTTGGGCACAATTGTATCTAATTCTTATTCTAAATTAGAAATAAATTATCCATTTGAAAAGGTTCAAAATTCTCATCAAACTAAATAATCATTCATCTAAATCCAATAGCACAACCAATTCCCAACCTATTGTGTAGAAAATATAATTCAGTGCACTTAAATTGTAAGTAGTGATAATTCTTATGTAGATGTATATAATGTAATAATGTGTTTACCATAGCTCACGCCCGCCTATTAAAATTGAAGAAATGTTGATCCTAACAATATTAGATATGAACATTATTTTTTTTTATTAATTGAAATACCAACCTAAATACTGTTGTTATTTGTTGTTCTTTTTTCTTTTTAAGTTTAAAAATTTTTTAAAAGCATTTTTAGGCTAGAGGATAAAAGTTTTAGCTGAAAAGAAATCTGATATTAGATATTCTTGTAGAAAATTTTATTAAGTTCAGTGATTTTGTGGTATAATTGAAAAACTTTTGTGGACTGCTTGCATCATTGGTCATTAGGTTGTAAACATAGCGTGCCAAATACGTTTACTGGCAAGATGCAAAAAATATTAAGTGCGTAAATTATTGCTTTCTAGCAGTAGCATCTCTCCAATGAAAATCAAAATATCCTATACTATGTAGTCTATGTTGCATCTGTAAATGTTCAAAAGATCTTATACTATGTTGCATTTGTAAATGTTTAATCAATAAGAGTAAGAATAAAGAAGCAAAGGTAGAACCTTACTTCTTAAATTAAATTACATAATATCTTTTCCATTTAAAAAGTATAAAATTCATACACCTTTACAATGAAGATACCAGTTTCTGGGGATTACATTTATTCACCTTCTGCTTAGAATATTATTTTTTACATGAAAGAAAAGGAACATTTGTACAATGGAGAAGAAAATGTAAAAATGGCTTTCAGTAGAATGATTGCTTCCATGGCAGCCAGCCATCTGTAAAACAAAGAACAAAGAACACAAATTGCTTTTAGTAGAATGGTTGTCTCCATAAAGAGAAGTCATTCACTAAATTTCTCAAGAGTTAGAAAAGGGGAAAAAATCTTACCTTCAAGCCAACTTCAAGTAGAAGGAACAGAATTCTGGAGAAAGGAAATTCAAAAAAACCTAAATCCTCCAATACTCTCCTACAAATTTTCCATGTCGTCAGTCATAAAATAAGAAGAGAAAAAAAAACTAAAAAACAATGCATTGAATGTTTAGAGAATGAAAAAAAATACTCAAGAACTTATTTTAGTCATTAGGGTAATATCGAAAGGATCATAACATGTCATAATCATATTTAAAAATGGGGCTAAATTTGTATTAAAAGTTTAGAAGAACACATTCAGCTACACTGAAACTAATAAAATAGAAAAAAAAAATGAATTTTGGCAATCAAAACCAAGACTCAAATTTATCTATAAAAGTCAAGCAAAGAAGAAAAGCATCCCCATGGCTACAAAGTCGGCTGTAGTTGGGGGATAATATTCCCCAAAATGCCATTCTGTAAGAATTATCTATAAGATGAATTCGAAGGCTACGCATAATTTGGGGAAAATTTTGCTGATTTTTTGGCCAAGAGGTACAACCTAATCTAACCAAAAGTTCCCCATTTTCCTCTTTCCAAGTAGAATTATCCTGTGGGTAAGCAAATTCTGAGCAAGAAATTACAAAAAAAAAAAGGAGTTTATTTGACATTGAATAAATGAGAAAACATCATCTGCTAAAGCAGTTGAATTGCAGCTTCTGCCTTTCGTCTGATGAGAGGAAAAAGAAATAGGCGGGAAAGAAACAGGAATGAAGCAGAAAGATGGTAGGCTAAAACTAAAAGTCAAAAGAAGCAGAAAGTGATAGTACAGAGAAAGAAGGGAAAGACGCGGATGAACAGGAGAACAAGTGCAGGTGAAAAACCAAAATTCAGCCCAAATAGTGAGCTACTGTTCTGGAAGCCTATTATGTTTAGAAGGGCAAACAAGTAATTTTAAGTAAAAGGACAAAAATGTCCTAGAATAGTTATCAATTGTTTAGACCAGGATATACTTTATGAGGTTATTGCCAAAAAAAAAAACACAATAGTTGCTTAGCTCCCATGTTTTGCCACGTGGATCAACGTGGGAGAAGAAGCCTTAGGTTTTTATATATATGTAAGATATATATATAGGTTACAAATTCTTGCTTGCAGTTTTGAAAAGATACCATTATAATATAACAAGTACAACATCCGCGAACTTCTGATTCACAGTCACAGGCAATCAAATAACCGAAAAATAATGGCTGTACGACCATAATTCCACCAACCGCAACCCACCACATTAGCAACAAAATCAACTCCTTTTGCAAAGTGCATTCCCGCTTAAGCTTGATTACCTGCTAGTAATGGTTTGGTTTTGGGCATTCCCTCGTATGCATTGCTTTGGACTGACTATGAATGGGATGTTTTGGGGAGCGAATTCTTTGATGGTGGCTGCCCAAGAATACTCTTTTGCAGTTGGGGGCCACCCACCCTATCCCTAACCCCAAAAATTGCAGAACTTTAACCTCAGCGGATACATTTATATTGTTTGCTGTTTAGCCGGTTCATGTCGTTATTGCTGGTTGCTTGTCCACGTCCACACCCAAAAAATGCACAACTTAAACCCCGACAGATACAAATCACCTAGCACTCCTAAATGGTTTAGTAAGCTCGCGAGGCCTCAATGTGTAGGAGTCCTCTTTTGTTTTTCATTTTTATCTTTTTCTGGAATCAGTTGTAAGAGACATGGGAGATGTTAAATTGACTGCAGACACGAGTAGAACCGTTCTCTCGAAGAGGAGGATGAGGATGTCATTGCCATTTGCCAGCTCAACCCTCTCAGCCCAAAATACAAACAAGTTGCTGGCAATAAGCATTAATGAGCGTCCAGATATTCACAGATCAAAAACAGGGGAAAGGAACCCAGAAATGCACAAAACCAACATACATATCTATGCCAACAAAACCACCACTTTCACTACTAGTATCAGAATGTCAAATTCAGTTCATCGCCCCATTAGCAACCTAGAAAAAACCCTTTTCCCTTTGCTAGTCCCATCGTACTGGCCCTCCAACCTGTACCGTTTATCTCGCCCAGACCACTTCTTAAAAGCCATGAATCCAAGTTTGACCAGGACATAGCCAGAACCAACGCTCGCTATGAATAGAGTTTCATTATCTGCAGTCACAAACTAACCAAGATTAGAAACATTTCTACTGGAGGATCATAACCCCCCCCCCCCAAAACTCCAAAAAATAAATAAATAAAAAATTTCTTGTTAATATTCTGTATATTATTATTCTGTATGATAGGAAGGTAACTCATTGATCGCCATTGTAGTAGGACCTGAAACCAAAAAAAATTATTCTGTATAATGTTTTCGAGAACGTAAAATCGTAGACAAAATTTATCGCCCAAACGAATAAAAATAATGGTCAGTAAAAAAAATCCAAACTTAATCGCAACGGATCTAGAAAAAACTTTATCAAAACCGCACTTATATCCCAACCAATAGATCTAGAAAACCCTAGCGAGATAGCATTGCAAGCTATCGTCCAAACAACGGGAAATCACATTGAATCAGAAAAGAAAAGCAAAAGCACAAAAAAAAAGTAGAGCACCTTCTAGATCCGACTCAAAAAAATAAAAAAAATAAAAAATAAAAAAACACATAGGAAACTGATCATAATCTATTTGAGAGAGATCGAGGAAGGAAATTTTCTTCTTACCGGAGAAATTTCAGCAACTGAAATTGGGTAAATGCCAGTTGGTGATAGAGCAGCGGCTATAGGGATGATGCAGAATAACGCCAACGGACCTTCTGTCTCACATCCTATGCCATTCTCTGTCTCACTCTTTATTATATTGCTATTTTTTCTACATAAATATCATATTTTAGTTCTTTTTTATTTCTTTAAAATCCAATAACTATTAATTGAATAATACAAAAAATTTAACAAACTCAAAAAATCAAAATTCATAAAAAATGAGATTTTTTATGAATTTTCTCGTATGAATGCCTGGTAGAAAAATTTTTCTTTTGATTGTTGGGTGTAGTCAGCTCAACAACTACTAGAAATTTTCAAAAAAAAAAAAAAAACTGCTAGGCTATTAGCCTTAAAGCCTGCAATTTTTTTTTTAAAAAAAAAACTTGAAAACTAAGCCCGGTGGCCTTTTTGGTTAATTTTTTTTATGTTCAAACGTAAGAAAAATGTCTAAACAGATTTGCTAAATCAATTATTTTTATGTTCAACCTTAAGAGAAGTTTTTAGATTAAAAAAAACCACATCTCATTCAATTTACAAGAAAATGCATTCCCCAAATCTTAATGTGCAACAGTAAATAAATATTTAAAAATCTTTGAAATATAATCATTGAAATTATTTTGTATAAGATTTGGTTTTATATTTTTATAAAACATATAGAAAATTGACAATTACATAAATAATATATACAAATAAATTATTATTTGGTAGTAGGTAGTGATAAGAATAGAGGCAGAAGTAAATACATGGCAGTGGTTAGTTACACATAAAAAGTAATTATTAATCTAAACTATAGTTTGACCAATATAACATTGTTGTGCAATATAAAAACAGAAAAAATAAAAAATAAAAAAGAACAAAGATTTGATAACGTGAAATGGTGAGATGGTGAAGTTTAAAAATTAAAATGTTAACCATTCAAATGATAAAAATTTAAAATAACTCTAAATAGCATATTCAAATGGTGAACTTTAAAACTATGTGCACGAAATGATAATATCAACAACCATTGCGCCTTAATCAACTTAGCTTCATACAACACCAAGTGATAAAGGTAAGGGCAACGGGCGCAATGGCCAATACGTTTCAACAATCTGTAACTATAGAATAGAATTTTGTAGACTCCACATATGGTGTAAAAAATGATGTATAAGATGGAATTTGGACCTTACATTTTTTTTTTGGCCAAATATTGACCATGAAGCTTCAGGAACAGTCCTGCCCCTCCTCCAGTATTTAGTTTTGAATCCAATGATGACAGTATGCCAACTAGATTGATACATAGTTTAGGACCAAAATTTTGATGTAAAGTAGTTACTCATCAATTTTGATCGCATTCACATAGTAATCTGTATTTGATAGAATCAATGAGTATGTCCAAATTTCAATAGTTAACAATTTAAGCATATGCATACAATTAGCAAATCATAAGAGAAACTTATCTTAATAACTAGAGAGTTTTATATTATGCAAAATTCTCAACCTGGAAGATTACAATATATGGATAAACAAGTCTTTCCCCAAACTAGTTGCTACAATTATTATGCAAGGCCATATAGGACATGTCAATATACAACTTTATGTTTGAGTAAGGAATTCTTCAAGGCAATTATCATGCAAAGAATTTTCTTTTAACAAATTTTATGCCTTTTCACACCTAAGACCATCAAGTCTTGAAACCTCCTAAGGGAATGATAAATTTCAAATCCTCAACATATTATTATACTACATAAACTTCCTACGTCAACTACAATATCAAATGCTTAGCAAAATAAAAGTAAGATGGTTATCGACAATAAGAGTGACATTACAGCACTTAAGTAATTAAAAAACAAATAGAAATTGAATATATACAAAATCTTACTTGATCCTTCAATTGAATTTAATAGACCATAAAGTCATTGCAAAAAGGGAGAAAACAAGAAAGAAATGGAGGAAAACAGAGATAAAAGAATGCCAAGTTAGAATTATCTCAGTGGAAGCATCACATGATATCTTTTCTCCTAACAAAAATACACGAAATTTGTAGATAATTACAAAATAAAACAAAAAAGAAAAAAAAATGCGAAGTGAGAAATCAAATCTTGAGAAGAGAAAAGAAAGGAATGAATTTTTGTTTTATTTTTCATAGAAGAGGATCACTGGCATAAAATTAATGCTAAGATCTTTTTATATATTTTAATATTTCACCTTTTATCCATAAAGAAATATCAAATAACAATATCATCTTTCAAATTTAGCACACGAATATCAGTTGACTATAACATTAAGATAGAATAATAGAGCAAATATGAGAGATGAAGAAGAAAAGAAAGAAAAGAAAATGTAAACTGGTCTCAAAGAAAAAATAAAGACCTCTCATTGCTAAACAACTAATCACTAGAAAAAAATAAAAAAATAAAAAGAACATGGCAACATTTTTAGCTAGATTAGTTTGAAGAAATAAAAAATAAAAAAATGAGGGATGATAGTGAGAAGAAGAAAAAGAGATGGAGTGCATTTTTTGATAATGTAAAGATATTTTAAACTTTATGGCCAATTGAATGAAAAAGGGAAGGAAAATTTTAGCAAAAAAAAAGGTTTCATTTGTCAAAAGTTAAGGCAATACGCGGGCCAAAATGATGGGATGTTATAGTAACTTGGTTTTCTTCATATATACAAGGTAGAGATAGATAGACATTTTAGATTCATAAAATGTTTTTGTATTTTGCATCTTCTAACTTCGAACCTTGGATACTACGTTGGTAATGTCATCCATTTGTATTCCTTAAGAAAGAGAGCTGCACCAATCGTCTCTCATATATCACATATGTGAAAATTTAGTCTCTTATAACAAAAATGATCAGTTTTGATCCCTAACAAACAAAAAATGATCACCTTTAGTCCCTTTTCACTTTTTCGAACCAATTTTGGCCGAAACTCATTGGGTCCATATGCAATGCCCAATTCCTAAAGGGTAAAAGTGACAAACCACTGTTGATCAATTATGCGAGGGACCGACTGTGCAAAACTTTAGTTAAACATTCATAAAAAAAACACAAAAACTAAGAAGCATACTTTTGGCTTCAAATTCAGGACAGTTGTCTTGGAGAAGAGCAAAAGCTTGTTTTGTAGCAACACGAACTGCCTTTTTGGATGGATCGATTGAGTTCTTGAGATCATTGATCTGAAACAAGGAATTGACACCGCCAGGCTTGAAATCAAGCTTTTGAATCCCCTTCTCCATAAGCTGGACTCTCCATCTCAAGAACTGATCCTTAGTCCCAAATATCTTCTTGTAAAGCTCCTCATCATCCAAAACTCCAAAAATGTTGTAATAGATGGGCCTTTGCAATCAATCCCATTCATGTATGCAACAGATGCAAGATCATCCCCTAAATCTTCATCCAAAACTGAATCATTGTTCAACTCTTTTCTCCATTGAAGTGTATTCTTCAGCATCTCAAATGCCTCATTGACTTTGAATTCCTTAACCCTCAAAAATTTCAAGAGAACCACATCAGTTCCCTCATGCCCTTTACTAGCCAAAAGAGACACTCCCCAAATGGAGATATCCTTGTCAATTTCAACATCTACGTCAGCCTTTTCACCCTCCTCACCATTATCATCACTCTTTTCTTCAGCATTTTCTTCAGTTTTCTTCTCTTCATCACCTTCATTTTCCTTCTTTCCATTTTTATTCTCTTTAACTTTTTCTTCACCTTTTTTTGCAGCCTCATTTGTTTCTTCTTTCTTCTCTTCACCTTCCTTTTTCGATGACTCCTTTAGAGCCTCTTTAGCCACTTCTTTCTTAAAGAGCTTGTTTCCCAGAATGGCTTTTTCCAGCTTCGACTTCAAAATCATTCAAAGCCTTCTTCTCAAACTCTTTGAGATCAGAATGGAAATTAGTTTATTCCCTATAAGAAGAACTCTTCTCAACCATCTTTCCTTCTTTGCATTCATCACCATCAGTCACATCCTTCACTTGCTGCACTTTCTCCATCTCCTTTTCTTCCTTTAAAACCTCTTCCTTTGTAACAGCCACTTTAGCCAACACCTGAGTTGCCTGTGATTTCTCCTCAACAGTCATGATAACAATGCCTAAAATGAACGCAAAAACACCAAAAAAATGAACAAAATCATTCAATAAATTAATCAATTACAAACCAAATACATAAATTAAAGAAAGCCCAACTCATTTTTACTTCTGATTTTGCTGAATTTCTATCACAAACTTTTCTCTTGCTTCTCCAATCTCCACTGCTGGTTCTTCTTTGGCCTTCTAAAGAGTTGAGAGAAGGAAATCAATAATGGTTTGAGAGGAAGGGGAGAAGGGAGTTTGACTCATGATTTGCCACTTTTATCCATTAAAAATTGGGCATTGCATGTGGACCCAGTGAGTTCCGGCCAAAATTTGTTCGAAAAAGTGAAAAGGGACTAAAAGTGATCTTTTTTGTTTATTAGGGATTAAAACTGATTATTTTTGCTTTGAGGAACTAAATTTTCACATTTATGATATGCGAGGGACGATTGGTGCAGTTCTCCCTTCTTAAAATTAATGTCAAGCTAACTCATAGCACAATACATGTCACGTGATGTGCGACATGTCAAGTGGTACTAACACATGGTTTGGACACGTGTCAGGGGTATGACACATGTTTGTCGAGGTAGACGTGGCAATTTTTGGGTATTTGCAGTTTTAGTACTTTATGTTTGGAATTATATATTTAGGCCACATGTAGCTTCTCAGCATTCAGGACTTATTTTCATGTAATATCATTTAAGTCATGTCCATTTACTTTAGATATTACACATAAATAAGGAAATATCCTCTATTTATATTTAATAAAAATAGTTTCAAAGCCAAATTTCTAAAAATAAATTCCAAGTTTCCAGTTTAGGGTTGTACAACTAGAAAAATTCTAGAATGATAGGGTTAGCCTAATTTCAAAAAGAAAAAGCCAACCCTAATTTTCTAGAATAGGGTTAACCTAATTTAATCATAAGAAACAAATATCGAGATTTTTTATTCTCACTTTCTAAGTGTTTAAAATACCAAACTTTTTGTGGTACTTAGTCTTCACAAACTGATCAAACTTAGGTACATGTATTCCTGAACCCTGATATTACTCGATATGCAGCTATAAACATCCAAGGGTATATGTTCATTCTAATTAAGTGCTTTATTGTGTCGAGAAACCTTCTCTCATAAGTGAAATTATATGATCTAATCGTGGGATTTGACATTGGCCTTATGTCTTTAAACTATGCACATAGCATTCACCTATGCACCAGGCCTATTGGAAAATCAGTACGACCACGATCCTCTCCACCCAAACTTTTGGTCTTCGAAATACCAGACTTTTGGTCCACTACCACACGCAAAAAGGTTAATACTCCCTCCGTCCCACTTTGATAGTCATGTTTTCCTTTTTCGTCTGTCCCAAATTATAGTCCACTTTCCAATTGAAGAATGTAGTTGTATTTTAATTTTTCTAAAATACCCTTATTCAATGTAAGTTGTTATTACTATAAACCTACCCCATTTAATGAGAGTTGATTATTTTTTTACCATCAATTCAAATTCCCATAAAGTTGTACTCTAATTCATTTGAGGGTATTTTAAAAAAATAATTATCTAAATTGATTGTTCCAATAAAATTAATTACTTTTTCTTAAACTGTGTGAAAAAAAAATCAGGACTATCAAAATGGGACGGAGGGAGTAATGTAATTCCAAGGCAACCAAAAATGTGAACTCTGACTAAACATCTTGAGGCCCAATATATAAAGAGGTTGACCTTTGACCAAAAAAATCAACAGGCCCAACGGCTACCAATAACTGTGTGGGCCATTACACTTCCAAATAGCTGCAAAAGGTTAAATCGGAAAATCAAACTGAGAATCTCCCATCAAGAGTTGTACCATATGGCTCAACAAAATGATTCACATGGACAACAAAATTACTAAAACGCCAACCACCTTGGACAGACCAAAACCTTCAAAAGCTTGGAAAAGGGTAAATCAGTAACCCAAGCTAACATCCGCTGCTTTAAAGATTGTACCACAAGCTCCATCAATGATTTACATGACATGGAAAAGTACAAAAAAAGCCACGGGGAGACGGACGAAAAGCTTGCCGAAGCTGTTGCCAAAGTGCTTTTCATACTACATGTAGGATTATTATTTTTTTTTTTGGAGCTTGAATTAAAATTTTCTGTTTGTCACATAATAAAGCCTTTCTGTAAAAATTTGACCAAGAATCGTGCTACCAAATGCAAATTTAAAGGCGAATAACATACTTTATTAATACTTCAAAACTCTATAACAACGGGGCAACCTTAATTGGTAGAAATATGTGCATAAGAAACACAATACTTCAAAATTCCAGCCTCTCCGGTTGGAGACATTCATGGTAGGATAGCAAGCTTGGTGGTGCTGGTTCTGTACATTGTTGTGTTGTCCGCCTTTTTCTGGGCAGATTGCAAAAAACGTCTCAAAACTTGTATTTGTTTAATACTATATAGTTTAGATAGAAAATCCAGTTTCAAAGTTTTGGTGATAGCAGACGGCTGAACTTACCTAATCTTGATATCACACTGTAATAGCTTAGTATATTAAAACAGAGACACCAGATTTTTCTTTTTTTTTAAAGATAGCTGTAGCAACTAATTAAAGTGCTATTTCTTACTGGGCTTGATTCTATGGTCAACTCCATGCTCATTGTAAGTAGCGTTCGTAAACTTTTGCAGGCCCAAGTTCTTGGCCTCCTGTCGCCTTGCTGGGTTTATGCACGAGCATCTTCCCCAATGGTTATGGGTCTACATTATAAGGTAGTGAGTGATGGTGAGTTTGAAGGAAGTCAGGCACCCAGTGGTGGTGGAGTCTTGCTTTGTCCTAAAAATGGAAAATCAAACAAATTGGCACTCGCTCAAAATTTGATCTTTATATCTAAGGAATTGGTTGACCGTTGATTTTTCAATCCAAGAATTTGCCCAAATTTCGAGTAACTGTAATGTTATTGTGTACTAGTGCAGTGTGTATTCCTTATACAACACACAATTTTCTATTCCAATTCAAGAGCCCGAGCAAATCCTCCATTGATAAACACTGGAGCTCAATTCATCAGGGAGAGCAGAAGACCAAGCAGCCAAATCAGGCAAAGCCCTTGTCAATGCAAGAAAGTTTGCACCTTTTTCTTTTGGCATTAACTTCCAGTTCAGCTCCCCGGCACCAGGAAATGCTTTCCTCATTGCTCTAATTGCATTATTTTGTTCCCAACCCAGTTCCAAATTCCCTTCCAATAATTCTTCACGTGCATCAGAAGAAACTCCCCCACAATTCACCATTATTCTACCCTTTGGCATCAGCTTCTCTCCAATTTCCGCCCAAGTTTTCACCTCCTCCAACCCCCTTAAAACCTTTCCGTCCGCAAACAAATCCACGATGATTCCGGCGTATCCTCCGGCAACACTGGCATTCGCCGAGAGCGCATCGCCGATGCGAACTCTTAATCCTCCTCCTCCGGCTTCCGCACGGTTCTCGAGCTCAGAGAGCCCTAGGTATTCTCTGGATTTATGAACTAAGATTTCGTCGATCTCCCACCCTTCGATCTGCAACGACGGCCACAAATGAAGCATTAAATCAGCTGCTGTTCCGCCTCCCAAGCCAAAAATCGCAATCGGACCGGCAGGAATAATCCGCGGCAAGCTGGCGAACTCGTCCCAATACGAACCAGTCCATTTACTTCCGCCCTTGCCGAAAATGCTGTGAATCTTGTGGCTGGAGTCGAGAAGCAAAAGCCTCGACTCTGCAGTTTCCAAAATCATAATGTCGTTGTAAATGCTTCGAACCGCAGTTAATAACTTGATATCTTCCGGCAGCGGTTCGTCGGTATTTTGACCATGTCCGTCTTCAGCTGACTGATGCTGAACTTCATTTTTAGCAGTGCTGCTTCTTCTCCGGGAATGGAAGAGCTGTACGGTCCTTCCGGTGAACGGCAAGGAATGTATTGATGAAGAGGCGCGGCGACGGCGGCAGCATTGAGAAGGTGGGTAGCTGGGCGATGACAGAGGAAGGGAGGAATAGGTAGATGATATGATACTACTGGTAGAAGAAAGAGTCTTCATCGAGGATAAGAATTTTTTTTCTTGTCGACTGGTTGAGCTGACTATTTTCGTGGCTTCGTTCGACCAAACAAACGACTGCGACTGCGACTACTGCGACTGCGCCTGCGCCTGCGACCACGGAGCACCTAATCCCCGCGTAATAGCATGCCACTAGTTGGAATAAATAATGGGCCATTCGCATTATGCCATGGGGCTGGAATCTCTATATACTGTATAGATTGACCTGGCATTCATTCATAGATCCATTAGTCCTTCACGAATTTTGTGCACCGCTCTACTACATATACTAGCATGATTCTGGCCGTGCATTGCACGGCCTACCCACTGATATGATCAAACAACTTAATCACACCTGGGCAATCAGGACCATATATGTATATATATGATATGACCAACTGAAAAATGAAGAGGTAAATAATGAATATGCAAATCACAACCATAGATTACATAAACTCAAACATTCATGTCTTAGCAAAACACACACTTCAGTTCAACCCACAGTTACATATTAGGGGGTTTAAATAGGCTTCATTGCCTATTGAGTTACAACATTGATGGTTAAACCATTCATAGATATATTAGGATCCATTACTTTCTAAGTCAAAAGAATAATGGATCATAATATAATTCAAAAGGCATTGTCTAAGCAATCAAGATAGTCATCAAGGCAATGAACAAAAGATATAACAAAAGTGCAGAAATCAGGCATATCAGTCTTCCTTTGCTTTAGGTTTCTTGGCTGGACTGTCTTTGATATTTGCAGGTGGACCATACGGTTTTGCAGGTTCTTTGGCAAACTCTTCAGGAGCCTTTGTTGGTTGTTTAGGATCTGTGTCTGCTGGTAAATCTTCTGGAAATTCAAGGCTTCTTTTTGCTCCACTGGTTGCAGATGTCTGGCTGTCTTTGTAAGAACTGGCTCCAGCAATTTCTTCAAGTAGCAACTTTGTGCTTGGTGTGAACAATTGATCCTTTGATGATGTTTCTGTATGCCTTGCTGATGAACTGCCAAGTGCAGAAGAAACTTGAGTGTTTTCTGGAAGTTCCAGAGGAATGGGACGGTCTGATAGTTCAGCTGCAGTATAAGCCTTGATGACAGTATTTTTTTTCTGCAGTTGACCTTGGAAAGGAGTCTCATAGGATTTCAGAAAACAGACCACTGTGTACTTTTTCAAGGCATCATTAAGTTCAGTATCTATTTGAAAGCCCTGCACCAGAAAATTTTTTTAGTTAGGTTCAGCGAATTCCTTTCTATGTATATCTGTATTTATGCCTGAATATAAGACAGAAAATTCATACTTACATCTTCTTGTGCTTGTTTAAGCTGCAATGGAGTGAACTCAATCAATTTTTCAGCATCTTCTCCAGATATAATGCAATGTATTGAGCTCGAAGCATCAGTTATAATAATTGGAATGCGAGCCCTTTAATTGAGTGGAGGAATTAAGATTAATATATGGTAACAAATGCGAATAATATTTAATTTAGAAGCATAAGTTAATGATCTAACCTGAGTTCAACTTCACTTTGCTGTTTGCATGAAGGACAGTGGATGATCCAGTCAATGTCAGCATTCACAATTTTGTGACAATTCGCACAAGCTGTAGTCCAATATTTGCTGAATCCATATGCAAGTTTGACAGTTCCTTGCACCCAAGCTGCCTTTTGCTGAGGCAGGCAACCATGAATGGTATTTGAATGTGAATTAGACAGAAAATAGTTATATTTAACCAAAATTGTAGAATAACAATATGGTACTTACAACTGGAAATGATGCCTGAAAATTGCTGATTGCTTTGATATCTTCTTCATTTGGAGGAGGAAGTAAACAGTTTGCATCATTGTATGTTTTAGCATCAAGCAAATTCCTGATTTCTTCCTTGTTCAAGCTGAACCTGAATGATTATGTTTAGAGCACAAATACAAAATTTATCAGTAAAATAAGTTGATAATTTATGGAAAAAACTAAAAAGAAAATTATACTTACCATTGCCTCAAAGATAGGTCATCTGGAAGTGGAGGACTAATCAGAATTCCAGATGAATACCTTGTAGTGAATGACAAAGCTGTAAAAATGATGAAATGGTTTAGTAATTATAACATCAAGTACTTAAAAGACACACAATAAAGAAATCATAATGCATAATGAAAAATTTACTATTGAATGTGGTAACTTTAACACGGAGAGCTATGATTAGAGGGGCAGTGCTAATCATGTCTGCTATTTTGCTCCCTTCATCATGTTCAAATTCATTCCAGAGAGTCATAAGCATCAGTTTCTTCCTGTCAGGTATAACAAATAAATTATAACTACTGCCATTAATCTAAAATGAGTTAATAAAATGGTAGTATTCAGGTTTGATTACTCTTCATTCACTATTATAATGTCTCTAGAAATAGAAGCCGGATCTGGCTGTTTTATTGGGAATGCGTGAATGACAAAGCCTCTAATATCTGAAACAAAAGTGTTGATATGAATGTAAGAAATCAATAAAATGTCAAATGACTGTCAAGTAAATTAAAAAATAATGTAACAAAAATTACTGCAAAGGTTATCTGAATCAGCATATTTGTGCAGATCAGAGAAGTTTGTCAGCTCAAATATGCAAGGCAGCATAGGTGGCACAGGTTCAGCATAATTTTCAATCAAAGTCTTGTAGTTCAAAATCCAGGAGCATTCATAAGTCCCAACTCTGTATGTTGGGTCAGCAGGAACCACAATTGCATTAGAAACATAATATCTTTGATAAGGCTGCAGAAATTTGCTGAAGGTCTTGATGTGTTGTTCATAAGTCACAACAGAAACTTTTGTTCCCTGATTAGGATTAGGAAAAGTTAGTTATATATATATTATGAGTTATAGCTATAACTATAATGTTGATGGCTAACACTATATTTATGACACAGAAATTAAAATTATAGGAATGCATACTTTAATAGTTAGGCAAGTATTCACTTGTAATGAAACTATAGTTTTGATATCAGTAGATGAAACTATGGTTTGTATAGATGAAAAGGTTAACTGCCATAAGTATATCAATTGTTCCAGTTCATTAGTCCTGTGCAAATTTAGAGAATTAACATATTATACTCCCACATGCTGTCTGGTACAGCGTGTCTTGATGACCAGCAGAAATATGCAATTTTTTCTCCCCTTAAGCTTTTACAATTCCATTATCTGTTTAGTGTGTGTGTTTTTTGTGAGATGTAATAAGCAATAATATGACAGGGTAAACTGGAATTGCATATGTATATGTTTGTGATATGCTCATAACAAAGGTTTGTAATGCAAGAATAACTTCGGTATAAGGTAAAATTTTTTGGTATAAGTTTGAAAATTGAGTTCTCATTCACTCTTTTTTTTTTGATGTCACAGATTGAGAACATTCTTCTTTTTCTTCTAGACCAACAAAGCCTACTTGCTAGCTGGATAGAAAAACTTAATGAACAGCAAGATTCCCTTCAGGAGCAGGTTGATATAAGTAAGATATCAGAGGTCTAAATTCACTGATTACTATGTCAAAAGTGGTGCTAATCATCCTTATTCTCAGCTTCAGCAAGTTTTCAACCATGTGGTAATGAAGAAGCAAATCATAAAATGTTCGTATACAGAATCTAAAATGTTCTCATCTATGAATTTAATTAATGACCAGAGAGATAGGAAAGAATTGCTGACCTCAGCATCTGTGAGCAGAAACCGCATAATTCGCCTAGGTGGAACTTCACGAGTTAATTGACTGTGGCCTTTGTGAACAACTTGTGCTAGAACAGTCCACTTTTCTGCTCCTTTCTGAATGTTTAGTACCGAAGATATATGTCTAGGCATGATGGGCTGTATTTGTAGAGAAATTAGATAGTGAATTAAACAAAATAATAAAGTTGGAAAAAAAGCCATGAATATTAAAACCTGATAATGTAATCTGGGAAGCTTCAAGAACTTCTTTATATACTATATTTTTAGTATGATCAGTGCATGATTCATCAAAATAAGCTGGCCTAATAAGTACTTTTACAGCCGAAGCTGTTTTGGCTCTTGAAAGTGCAACATATAATTGGCCATGTGAAAACACAGGTTCTTTCAAATAAATACCAACAAAATCTAAAGTTTGGCCTTGTGCTTTATTTATTGTCATTGCAAAGCACAAACGAATTGGAAATTGTGTTCTCTTATATGGAACTGGATATTGTTCATCACTTGGTGGCTGCAAGGAAATTCTATGTATAAAAACTTCTTTGCCACAAAAATCACCCACTGCAATTTTAGCACAAATAACATTCTTGCTCAAACTCTTTATTATGAGTCTAGTTCCATTGCATAATCCTTCAGCAGGATCAAGATTTCTTAAAAGAATTATTGGGGCATTGGATTTTAAGAGTAACCTATGTGGAGGTAAATTGCTTGGCGTAAGAGTATTCAAAAGATCAATATATTCAGATTGATGATTTTCATTCAGTGTTTCATCATAGCTTAGTTACTCAGTCAAATCTCCTGGAAATTTTTTGATCAATTGATCATTTATTTCATCTACAAAGTTATTCTTTGTAGTTAGAATTGCTCTATTTTGTGAGCAATACAGTTTGTTTGAAGGATCTTTAAATTCAGGATACACAATATTGATTAGCTTTTCAATTGCATCAGTCTCATTATTATAGTTAACTATAATTGAAGATGGAAGTTTTACTATGTCATTCTCATTTGTTTCTTGTGTCCCATCTCCAATTCTTAAAAGAAACTGCGTGAATGAAGGATCTAATTTTGCTCTCATGTTCTCTATTAATTGCAATTTCTCTAATTTGTGCCATAATGGAGAATTTATCAAACATGCATTTATCATTTCAGCTTTTGTTCCTTTTCTAACAACTGGCAACGTTTGTCTAAAATCTCCACCAAGTACAACTACCTTTCCCCCAAATATTTCTTCTGAATTCATTAAATCTCTTAAGAGATCATCTAAAGCTTCAATTGCTGCTTTTTTAGCCATTGGTGCTTCATCCCAGATTATGAGTTTTGCTTCTTTGATCATTGCAGCTAAAGAAGTTTGTTTACTGACCCGACATGTTGCACCATCAAAGATATATATTGGAATTTTAAATCTGGAATTTGCAGTCCTTCCACCTGGTAAAATGGAAGCTGCAATTCCTGATGTAGCTGTAGCAAGAGCAAGATAGCCTTTAGATCTAACATCAGCTAACAA